CTGTGGGTCTAGCAGGCCACACTGTACTGTGGGTCTAGTAGGCCACACTGTTATGTGGGTCTAGTAGGCCACACTGTACTGTGGGTCTAGTAGGCCACGCTTATGTGGGTCTAGCAGGCCACACTGTACTGTGGGTCTAGCAGGCCACACTGTACTGTGGGTCTAGCAGGCCACACTGTTATGTGGGTCTAGTAGGCCACACTGTACTGTGGGTCTAGTAGGCCACACTGTACTGTGGGTCTAGCAGGCCACACTGTACTGAGGGTCTAGCAGGTCACACTGTTATGTGGGTCTAGTAGGCCATAGAGTACTGTGGGTCTAGTAGGCCACACTGTACTGTGGGTCTAGTAGGCCACACTGTACTGTGGGTCTAGTAGGCCACACTGTACTGTGGGTCTAGCAGGCCACACTGTACTGTGGGTCTAGCAGGCCACACTGTTATGTGGGTCTAGCAGGCCACACTGTACTGTGGGTCTAGTAGGCCACACTGTACTGTGGGTCTAGTAGGCCATAGAGTACTGTGGGTCTAGTAGGCCACGCTTATGTGGGTCTAGTAGGCCACACTGTACTGTGGGTCTAGTAGGCCATAGAGTACTGTGGGTCTAGTAGGCCACGCTTATGTGGGTCTAGCAGGCCACACTGTACTGTGGGTCTAGTAGGCCATAGAGTACTGTGGGTCTAGTAGGCCACACTGTACTGTGGGTCTAGTAGGCCACGCTTATGTGGGTCTAGCAGGCCACACTGTACTGTGGGTCTAGTAGGCCACACTGTACTGTGGGTCTAGCAGGCCACACTGTACTGTGGGTCTAGCAGGCCACACTGTACTGTGGGTCTAGTAGGCCACACTGTACTGTGGGTCTAGCAGGCCACACTGTACTGTGGGTCTAGCAGGCCACACTGTACTGTGGGTCTAGTAGGCCATAGAGTACTGTGGGTCTAGTAGGCCACGCTTATGTGGGTCTAGTAGGCCACACTGTACTGTGGGTCTAGCAGGCCACACTGTACTGTGGGTCTAGCAGGCCACACTGTACTGTGGGTCTAGCAGGCCACACTGTACTGTGGGTCTAGCAGTGGGTCTAGCAGGCCACACTGTACTGTGGGTCTAGCAGGCCACACTGTACTGTGGGTCTAGTAGGCCACACTGTACTGTGGGTCTAGTAGGCCACACTGTACTGTGGGTCTAGCAGGCCACACTGTTATATGGGTCTAGCAGGCCACACTGTACTGTGGGTCTAGTAGGCCATAGAGTACTGTGGGTCTAGCAGGCCACACTGTACTGTGGGTCTAGTAGGCCATAGAGTACTGTGGGTCTAGTAGGCCACACTGTACTGTGGGTCTAGTAGGCCATAGAGTACTGTGGGTCTAGCAGGCCACACTGTACTGTGGGTCTAGTAGGCCATAGAGTACTGTGGGTCTAGTAGGCCATAGAGTACTGTGGGTCTAGCAGGCCACACTGTACTGTGGGTCTAGTAGGCCATAGAGTACTGTGGGTCTAGTAGGCCACGCTTATGTGGGTCTAGTAGGCCACACTGTACTGTGGGTCTAGTAGGCCATAGAGTACTGTGGGTCTAGTAGGCCACGCTTATGTGGGTCTAGCAGGCCACACTGTACTGTGGGTCTAGCAGGCCACACTGTACTGTGGGTCTAGTAGGCCACACTGTTATGTGGGTCTAGTAGGCCACACTGTACTGTGGGTCTAGTAGGCCACACTGTATTGTGTAAGCTGTCCTTAATCTTTAAATTTCTATCTAAACTAGACTTCGTTTCTATAGATACAGGATCTAGTTGCTTGAACCATCTGTGCCGGTCTGACCACTTCTGTACAACTAAATAAACCTTGTTGTTTTGAATTGATGAGAACCTTAAGTGGTGTGGATATATATTTTTATGACAGTTTTTGTTACAGCTGTAGTACTAATCACGATTAAACCTGTCATGATACATGGACTTCATTTAGTCAATGCAGGTGATTTAGGCACCACAGGGGTATAATAAGCGGCCCTCGTGTTATAAAGTATATGTTTCGTCTGATATGTATATCTGTATCTATGTTCGCAGATATATGGAAACCAGTATTTCTTTTTGACTGACAATAAAGATAAAATAAAAACGACATGCATTTAAAAGATATTGAAGTGTTTTTTTAGATGGATGGACAGATAGACCAAAATAGAAACTGTGTATTTGTGATTGACACACTCAAAGACAGAAGACAGAGCCTGAGTCTTAAAGTATGCAAGTTCAACAAACCGTGTTTGCGTTACGGTCTTGTTTACATTTACGAATTGGACAAGGGTCGCATGTTTGAAGCGAGGGTGGCATACTGCTAGCAGGCCACTCTTGTCAGCCACCTTGTGGAAGAAAAATACTACAGACCCAGTTTACCGTCTGATCAAAGGGACCACAAACTAAATCCTCCCGCCGTTTCTCTGGTTAATGCTGACCTTTTCACCAGTCTCATGGACCGCATTACACGCCAAGGACATTTTGTGTTTGCGCAGTTTTCTCTGGCGTGTTGATCAAGATATCGTCTTTTTTTACAGTCTAGTTTACCATGCGTATATTGGCCTATGTATATATATTTATATTGATTTATATGTACGGCAGCATAATTACTAGACCTACATTATTTTAACATATCCATTGTGTTACAACATTTTAAAGTTCTGTTGTTTTTTTTTAAATGGAAAAAGAAGATTGCCATTTACTGGCAAGTAATGACGTCACTTTGCGTAGATGGCCAGTTACTGGCAATTGATGACGTCACTTTGTGTGTGAAAATGGTCGATCGAAGTAATCGACAATCATGATTAGGTTGTAAAATAATGTAATGGCTAACATCAAAAACCAAAAAAAAAAGCTTTTGTAGCTGTTTTATTTCCACAAAGCTGTCTATACCCTGATATTATTACTTACTATAGGCTTTTAAATGGCATCCGCAGAGTTCAACGAGAAGCCCCCTCCCCCCCCCCAATCATTTTGTTGACAAGTATTTTTAAACGATGTGCCTTTGTTAATTTTGTCTTCAAGCTGCCTTATAAACTTTAAGAGTCAAAAGCTTGAAAACTTGAAAATTTAGTATTTTAAAAAAAAATTTAGAAAATTTGTAAATTCAGAGAACTTGATTTTTTTTTTTTTTTTTTTTTTTTTGCCATTTGAGGCTCCATTTATATTTATTTACATTAACGCGACATTTGAACCTGAAGTTTGACTTGAGTAAGACAAACTTGGACTGGCGATATCATAGATCGTGGACTTAAAAATGAAGCATAACCTTTTACTCTAAGCTTTTGCGGTAAATGTTTTTTAAGGGTCATCCATAAATGACGTCACGCTTTTTTTGACGAATTTTACCTCCCCCCTCCCCTCCGTCACACGTCGTCACAAAAAGTCAGACACCCCCCCCCCCCCTTAAAATGACGTCACACCTCAACCTACAACCCCCCTCAAAATTGCAGTTGAATTTTTTTTAAACATCGATATTTTTCCAAAATCTTGTCTAAACTATTACAATTTATTAAAACAGTTATCTAAAACGCGAAATAACGTCTAAAATTCGTTTTCTAACATTGCTTTTTTATAATGCAAAAATGTGACGTCGCAACATCTGAACCCCCCCCCCCTCCCCCTCATCACACATCGTCACAAAATTTTGGACCCCCCTCCCCCCCCCCTACGAGTGTGACGTCATTTATGGATGACCCCTTAATCAACTTCAACTTTTGAAGACAACGTGACTTTGTTTACATTTTCCGTGTGAAAATGAGAAAACACATAAAAAAAAAAGTATCCTTTTTTTTAAAAAATTGTTAAGTAACCGAAAATAGTAAACATGAAATACGTCCAATCGTCAGTCTTACAAAAACGACACGATTAAGTTTTTAAAAGAACGTCTATTTAAATACCACAGAGCTGGAGGTTTAAAATATTTAGAGTAAAGCCTCCTGCGAGACATTTTTGATATCACCAGAATCATTGGGTCATTTTTATTGATTAATCGGAATGTTTTCAATGTTTTTAACTAGCTATTTCTTATGTGAATGGGATAGGTGAGTTGTGTTCGGGCATGGGACGTTGTGTTGCCCCCGCTAGCTTGATGTCTATATATAGCTACAAAACTTGTCAATCTCTGAGACAACTGCCATGTTGAGTTTGACAAGAATGGATGGGGATGTTGACAAGAAGTATTTTTAAAGTCTTATTTTAAATGTTACGCTGATGGTTACAAGTTGAAGTTCCCACTGAACGTTAAGAAACTATCGTTTGGTATCGCTCTAGAATACTGCGTGAAGTATAAAAAGAACCTCACCCCTACAGTTCCAACAGCGTGCTTCTACTGTTTATCTCAGCTTCCGTTTTACTCTGGAGCTGTTTAAATTGTATTCATTAGATAACCTTGATTTAATTATCTTTGTTTTTGTTATTCTTGTCTTTCATTTCCTGTACATTCCTTGACGTTGATTGCGTCACAACATACCAGAGCATTTTTTCCCCGACCTTATAGTTTGTTTATGTAATGACGTAAGTAAACATATACTAGCCAGCCTGGCAAGTGTTAATGCCTTCAACGTCGCCAACTGATGTTCTTCTCTCAAATCGTAACATAACTGCACTGACTTCTTGATTTAACCTACTTTATCAATGTTTCAAATGGACACGATTTTTCTTGTATTTATTGCTTATTAAAAAGTCCATTTAGAATCTAGTAACGTGAGCAGGGCTAGAGGGTTTAAGGAGCCTTGTACATAAACTGTTCACTCAAGGAGAAATATGTTAAGAGCAGAAAACTGTTGCTTTTTCTCTGATTAATTTTATGTAACGTCGTAAATAAATGTTTGTAAGTGGCATTCCTACATTAATCTATTTGTATTTAAAGGCAGCAATGAGATCTAACCCCAGACATAAAAACTCACATATGTTTTCTAACCACAGACATAAAATCTTCCATGTTTTATAACATCATTCTTAAAATCTCACATGATATGTTTGTCTCCTCACAGAGGACATTCAAGTTGGTTGTCGTGAACTTCGTGCCAGACGTTACATCTCAGATGGTTTCTGTACATCAGAGACGCCCATCTTGGAGGTTGTGTGTACAGGCAATTGTTTACCTATAAAAGAATTAGAATGGTGAGTAATACAGGCAATTGTTTACCTATAAAAGAATTAGAATGGTGAGTAATACAGGCATTTGTTTACCTATAAAAGAATTAGAATGGTGAGTAATACAGGCAATTGTTTACCTATAAAAGAATTAGAATGGTGAGTAATACAGGCATTTGTTTACCTATAAAAGAATTAGAATGGTGAGTAATACAGTCAATTGTTTACCTATAAAAGAATTAGAATGGTGAGTAATACAGTCAATTGTTTACCTATAAAAGAATTAGAATGGTGAGTAATACTGTCAATTGTTTACCTATAAAAGAATTAGAATGGTGAGTAATACAGTCAATTGTTTACCTATAAAAGAATTAGAATGGTGAGTAATACAGTCAATTGTTTACCTATAAAAGAATTAGAATGGTGAGTAATACAGTCAATTGTTTATCTATAAAAGAATTAGAATGGTGAATAATACAGGCAATTGTTTACCTATAAAAGAGTTAGAGAGGAGAGATATACAGGCAATTTTATTATGACTTGTAACCTCTTTGTGCCGTTTAATTTTGTTTACTCCAGGTTTACTGCAAGTAATTTTTTTTTAATTTGTTCCAGGTATGCAGAGTTCATCAAGACTATTGGAACGCAAAAGCTTCAAAATTTCAATTGTGTGGATGATGTAGTGACCAAGAAGAAAGTCAAACTGTTATGTCAAGATGGCTCTCTTCGCGAGTACAGAATAAAAGTCGTCAAAAGCTGTAAATGTAAAAAAATCAAAAACATTCACAACCGGACCTCTCAACAAATAAAAGAAAAAAAGAAAAAAAAGAAAGCAGAAAAGGGTTCATGACATTCTAGAATTAGACGCTTAGCCTTTGCTTAAGCCAGTTCTTGACTTGCATGTAAATATTATAAATACTGCCTCGTCCACGTTCCAATGTTGCACACTACTTAGCTTGAGAATGGTTATGATTCAGTTATTTCACCATGATACTATTATGGCCAAGAAAAACTGTAACACTGTTATGGTCATATTACTACAACATTCCTGAGGCTATAGTGCTACAACATTCCTATGGCCATAATACTACAACATTCCTATGGCCATAGTACTACACGATTCCTGAGGCCGTAGTACTACAACATTCCTATGGCCATAATACTACAACATTCCTGGGGCTATAATACTACAACATTCCTATGGCCATAATACTACAACATTCCTATGACCATAATACTACAACATTCCTATGGCCATAATACTACAACATTCCTATGGCCATAATACTACAACATTCCTATGGCCATAATACTACAACATCTCTGAGGCCTTAATATTACAACATCTCTGAGGCCTTAATATTCCAACATGCCTGTGGCCATAAAATGTCAAAATTCCTGAGTCCATAATACTACAACAGTTGTGAGACTATAAAACTTCAATGTGCTAATAAGCTCAAATCCTTGGCCAACCACTTCCATATTTCTAAGGAAATACCTCAAGGTACATTTAGCACCAATAACACCAACTTGACTCATTTCCAATAACTTACAACACCAACTCACCAAATGCCAACAACACCAAATGCCAACAACACCAACTCACCAAATGCCAACAAAACAAACTCATCAAATGCCAACAACACAAACTCACCAAATGCCAACAACACCAACTCATCAAATGCCAACAACACAAACTCACCAAATGCCAACAACACCAACTCATCAAATGCCAACAACACAAACTCACCAAATGCCACCAACACCAACTGACACCTAATGACACCAATACCAACTGACCAGAGTGCGATATATACCATCTTGTTAACATAACCATACATTTCTCTTACATAAAAAAAAATCAAGCTCATCTCCCAGTTCTCTCCCTTGTTGGTTCAAGGAATATCCAGTTCTAAATGGCCCGCAGTCTTCTACATCAAGTAACGTGGGCTGACGTAAAAATCAGATGAAAAATGTTTTTAAACTTATCTGGACTGAAGTACCTAGACGGATAAACAGAAGAAGAAAAACTTTTGTTTCTTGGAAACTTGCGTGCCAAATTCTTTTTCTTCATTCCCCCAAAAAGGATACATCGAGGTTTTCTTTTGACAAAACGGGGCATTCATTTCTTTTTCTCAAGCTGGTCACTCTTTCGGGCAGCACTTAAGATGTACAGCACTTGCTAGGTTGCGAAGATCTGAAATATGTAGCTTAGATGTTAGCTCTACACTGCCATGTTCTCTAGTTTGGACCCAACATCGTGACGTCCCACACAAAGCATAGCGAGGTTTTTACTCCACACACCGGGTGTACCTGAGCTTGTGGTGATATACCTACCTGTAGGCAAACTGGCTAGATTTATACAGGTAGGCTATACAACACATACGTTACTCCAACAGTTAAAATTTGAATTATGACGTCGGCAGCTAAGCTCTGAACTATGACGTCAGTAGTAAGATGTTGAACTGAAACGCAAAAAGATCGGATTATATTTTTAACTGTTGGCCTGTGACGTCACATGAGCTATATGACGCGGACATCAGCAGGCAGGATATGTGAGATTTTGGCGGGTATGCTATGGCTACAAGAAGTCTGATAGGATCAGCACATTGTGAACGACAATAGAGCAGGAACGAAGGTTTCATAGACGGATGTGTTTCGGATTTGAGAGTAAGATGCGGAGAGGCGCTGAGACCTCGGCTACTAGATGGGCTAGACGTGTGTGACACTAGATGAGCACTGCTTTAAGATGGATCTGTGCTGCTTGTGTATGGACACTCAGAACCGTTCATCTTACATCGTTCTCACCAAGATATGAACAGCGCCTGTTATGTGTATGAGCATGTGTGTGACATAGTTTTTATGTATATTATTTATTGATTCCATGTTGATGGAAGAAGGCGTGCTTGTAGTCCCCGTGTTGTTTCTAGAGTTCCTGGCGATAGCAAGCACTACTTCCTTCTTTGTCTATGTTACTGCAGCTAATTTGTACCCATTTTTTTTTCAATTCCTTTTGCTAGTTTCGCTTGGTACACAGTATGATTGTAATCCAGTTTCTAAGCACATCAATGGGCATGTGTACATACTACACTTTGATGGATTCATATCGCCCCCACCGTCCCCTGCTCCCCTCGGAGCATGCAATTGCTACTCCACCACCGACCCACGGGACTGTAGTGGCCCACGGTAAGGGTAAGCGGTAGGGTTCGACATTTTGGAGCTGCTAAAAAAACGTTGAACTAATGGTCTCCAGGTTTGACCATTCCAGCAGATGTGCCAAAAATCTTTTTCTTGTTGCTTGTTGCAAACTCAAATGTTTACAGTTCTTATTGCCACATTATATATATATATATATATATATATATATATATATATATATATATATATATATATATATATATATATATATATATATATATGTCCAAAAAATGTCGCCAGCATAACTGTTTTTTAAAGAATCAATATTTTTACCAACAAAAATCAAGTGATGAAATGTGTATTATAAAAACGTTTCAGTTGTTTAGAGTGGTTAGGCTTAAAAAAAAACAACTGCTACTTGCAAACATGTAATACAGTGGAATCTCTTGTTGTTTTTATTTTAATTACACCCCCCCCCTGCTTTTTTTTCTCTCCTCCTTTCGTCGGTGGTTTGTGTCCTCCGTGCTTTTTGTCCTGGATTTCATCTAAGCTTAATGTTATTAACAATTTTATCATGTCTCAACCACCACAGCCATTGCTGCCTCTGTTGAACAATGCAGCTTCCCCCCCCCCCCCCATACTTTTATACTGCTGCCTCACCACCTCCTTCCCCGTTTCTCTGACTTAACAAATCGCCTGGAAGAGGTTTTTAGTCACCTGTTTCATACAACAGTGTCAAATTTTATCGAGCACAGTATTGATTCAATGGAAGCCTCGATAGCATGTTCGAGTGTAAGGAATAAAATATAAAGGATCCGTGTGGACAAACACATTACAAACCAGTTCCAATGGAACAATGGCACCTCCCAGCAGAGAGATTCCACTGTATGCTAGGGGGGGGGGGTTACTAAATATACTGTCGTCAGCTTTAAAACGGATTAGCAACTAGAAATATTTTGAATGAGTAAAAAGCTGATCTGGCATGTGTTTATGGATTAGCAACTAGAAATATTTTGAATGAGTAAAAAGCTGAATTGGCATGAGTTGATTAATGTTTTAAATACTGTGATGCTTTATGTTAAATCTTGTTTCATAGCACATTCCCTACTGTACAGAGTTATATAGAACCTGGAGACGTATATATGTACATTTTAACGCTTCTATGTTTAAGTCGATGTCTTAGTAATTTTTAACGCTATAAACATTTTTCTACAGGTTACACAATTAGCATTTACGTATAGTTTAATGTTCAAGCATAACTACAAGTATTAATATTCAGCACTATAACTGTAATATATTATAATAACTTGACAGATGATGCTGAAAAAGTGTAAAAATAAAAACTTAAATACAGGAAATACTAATAGGGTAATAGTGGTAGTATCACTTAGACTACTTAAAGATATCTAGTTTAAGTAGGTTCGACTATTATGGCATTTAATAAGGTTGTAAGTTACTAACAAAACGTGACCTAGTTAATGAAATGTAATTGTTTGAACAGTTACTGCCGTCTAAATAGATCCAAACCAAAGAAACACTGAATCACTGGAGCAGTAGATAAATAAACGTATCCTTGTTTTAAAAAAACGAAACGGTTTCATCTCTCTAAGATACAACTTCTGCCAAAGGTTGCTCCACCAGTGACGTCAGAGGGAGAAATCGTCCAGACATTTGTCCAGGTGTTCTCGGTGGGCTTCGACTGTATTACAATTTGAATATGTTGTACATGTGTTGTTTAGAATATGCTGATTCGTTGTGTGGATACTGGCAACTCATTTCTTTTATTAAAATATGAATTATTAAATGCATATGTGATTTGGTTTCTTGTATAGTTCGGTCTCAGTTGTTTGTGAGTTGGTTCTCTATCATTTAACTCCTGATTATTCGACTCTAATCGAATCCCCCAAAAATATGGTGGGATCCTTTTGTCGGGGCCATTTTGTCAACGGCTATCATAACGTTGGTTTTACTGATGAACATCCACCTTCAAGTCCACTGGTGTAAATCAAATGAAGACTTGTATTTCAACCCCTAACCTAATCTAACGGCTGCATCAAATAATTAAATAATCGTCATGTACTAAAACATCTAAGATCAAGAAAAATGTGCCAGACAGCGAGTGTTCCCCCCCCCCCCCGCAGACATGACCTCACAACTGTCCACCATGTTTTACCATGACCTAACGACCAGAGGCGTAGCGACCCTTCCCGGCGCCCGGAGACATACTTTCAATTTGGCGCCCCCCTCGGGAGCAAATTTTCGATTTGCACCCCCCCACCCCCTCAAACTTTCGATTTGCACCCCCCCTCAAACTTTCGATTTGCACCCCCCCCCTCAAACTTTCAATTTGGCGCCCCCCCCCTAAGGTCGGCGCCCGGGGACATATGCCCCGCCCCCTCGCTACGCCTCTGCTAACGACTGACCACCGTGTTTTACCATGACCTAACGACTGACCACCATGTTTTACCATGACCTAACGACTGACCACCATGTTTTACCATGACCTAACGACTGACCCCCGTGTTTTACCAAGACCTAACGACTGACCCCCGTGTTTTACCATGACCTAACGACTGACCACCATGTTTTACCATGACCTAACGACTGACCCCCGTGTTTTACCATGACCTAACGACTGACCATGTTTTACCATGACCTAACGACTGACCACCGTGTTTTACCATGACCTAACGACTGACCACCATGTTTTACCATGACCTAACGACTGACAATGTTTTACCATGACCTAACGACTGACCACCATGTTTTACCATGACCTAACGACTGACAATGTTTTACCATGACCTAACGACTGACCCCCGTGTTTTACCATGACCTAACGACTGACCCCCGTGTTTGTTTTACCATGACCTAACGACTGAACACCATGTTTTACCATGACCTAACGACTGAACACCATGTTTTACCATGACCTAACGACTGACCCCCGTGTTTTACCATGACCTAACGACTGACCATGTTTTACCATGACCTAACGACTGACCATGTTTTACCATGACCTAACGACTGACCATGTTTTACCATGACCTAACGACTGACCATGTTTTACCATGACCTAACGACTGACCATGTTTTACCATGACCTAACGACTGACCATGTTTTACCATGACCTAACGCCTAGCTTGGCCACCCTGTTTCCAGCCCACAGATTCTCAAATTTCCCCGCCATATTGACAACCACGGTTTACATCCAACCGGAAACGGATTATTGCGAGAATAAATTATGACATGGGCTATAAAAAGTGATGTTTTATGAAACGGGTTGTGAATGCAGTAAATAGTGGAACAAGCCTTGGCCTGGAAGATTGAATACATTAACCTGCGTTTTTTTAAAAACCACAGCGTGGAGGGTGGTGGTGTGGTTTGATACGTTCTAACAGTTGGACTTATCGCAGTCTAAAGGTTCTCAGCCAGCACTACGAGAACCCTAGTTGTGTCACTGTCAGCACTAAGAGAACCCTAGTTGTGTCACTGTCAGCACTAAGAGAACCCTAGTTGTGTTCGGCACAGAATAGCTTTGTTAAAGGATGTGAAACGTGTATTATGTTGCTAACAGTTAACAATTTGACTTACTTTATCACATATGGGGTCAACAGTACGGAAACATGGAGGGGGGGGGGGTTAGGTCTCGCATCCGGCATCTACCAACCCGTAGATCCGGCAGACACCAACCCGTAGATCCGACAGACACCAACCCGTAGATCCGGCAGAAACCAACCCGTAGATCCGGCAGACACCAACCCGTAGATCCGACAGACACCAACCCAACCCGTAGATCCGGCAGACACCAACCCGTAGATCCGGCATACACCAACCCGTAGATCCGGCAGACACCAACCCGTAGATCCGGCAGACACCAACCCGTAGATCCGGCAGACACCAACCCGTAGATCCGACAGACACCAACCCGTAGATCCGGCAGACACCAACCCGTAGATCCGGCAGACACCAACCCGTAGATCCGGCAGACACCAAACCGTAGATCCGGCAGACACCAACCCGTAGATCCGGCAGACACCAACCCGTAGATCCGACAGACACCAACCCGTAGATCCGGCAGACACCAAACCGTAGATCCGGCAGACACCAACCCGTAGATCCGGCAGACACCAACCCGTAGATCCGGCAGACACCAACCCGTAGATCCGGCAGACACCAAACCGTAGATCCGGCAGACACCAACCCGTAGATCCGGCAGACACCAACCCGTAGATCCGGCAGACACCAAACCGTAGATACGGCAGACACCAACCCGTAGATCCGGCAGACACCAACCCGTAGATCCGACAGACACCAACTAAATAAAAAAAACTATGATACCAACTCAACCTGCCCGCCCCCCTCCCCACACAACCTTTCTTATTGAATGCATCCTGTTGAAGGTTTCTATTGTCGATGTTGACTGAGATATCTCCAGCCACTATGGGTTCATCCAAAATGGTTGTATGAATAGCAAGTGGGTGAGGTCACTGGAGCGTGCAACGAGCCATTCACCCGTTGTCAGGGTGTTAAAAGCGCCCCACGGAGAAAAACAAAATGATGCGTCCTCTTTCATTTGAGTAGGTGCTTGTGGGATTCGGGTTCGCTTCTTGGTTCGGTGATAGTTTGTTAGTGGGCAAGGTGGGGTTCGGTCACAGTCACGTGCCTTGGTCAGTCATCTGGACGGGTTCATTGCTCAAGTTTTGGCTGGTGTAGTCTTCATTGCCTAATGCTGGTGTAGTCTTCATTGCCTAATGCCTGATATAGTCTTCATTGCCTAATGTCGGTGTAGTCTTCATTGCCTAATGTCGGTGTAGTCTTCATTGCCTAATGCCTGATATAGTCTTCATTGCCTAATGTTGGAGTAGTCTTCATTGCCTAATGCCTGATATAGTCTTCATTGCCTAATGTTGGAGTAGTCTTCATTGCCTAATGCCTGATATAGTCTTCATTGCCTAATGTTGGAGTAGTCTTCATTGCCTAATGCCTGATATAGTCTTCATTGCCTAATGCTGGTGTAGTCTTCATTGCCTAATGCTGGTGTAGTCTTCATTGCCTAATGCCTGATATAGTCTTCATTGCCTAATGTTGGAGTAGTCTTCATTGCCTAATGCCTGATATAGTCTTCATTGCCTAATGCTGGTGTAGTCTTCATTGCCTAATGCCTGATATAGTCTTCATTGCCTAATGCTGGAGTAGTCTTCATTGACTAATGCTGGAGTAGTCTTCATTGCCTAA